TTGGCAAGTCATTTGTAGAAACCTCAACAGTACTTTTAACGTGTATTCTTGCATGTTATGGACAACGCGCGCATTCTCCACAATGCTGAGGACTCGTTCGAAATTCGTGCTAAATGTCGTTTTTGTAATATTTCAAGCATGCCCGCTGAAAGCAATTTCGGGATAATCAGACGAGAAAGCGTTCAAACACAATAGAGAATAAATAGCGGCGCGGGATGGAAACGAGTTTCCGACCTTAACAGGATGAAACGTTACGCCTGAAACGTTGCACATGACAGCATCTACCCTACAAACATCGATATGCTCTTCCCAACTTTTGGCGCGTGCTGGAACACCCGCTTGCAGAATGCGAGTTTGAGACGATATAGGCACATGCTGCCAAACTCCTGCTGACAACGTTGTAACAAAACACCGCGAGATTATGATGTACATATTAGTACATTCTAGTCATTGCAATATCTGCTATGGGCCGCTTTCAGATTCATAAACAAACCTGCAAAAAGCGGCAACACGTGCAGTGCAACGCGTGGCGTAGTGCTGCATGCATTCCAACGCTTTCCCAGGAACCCTCTCCCAGGCCAGACAGCTCAGCACGAAATTAACATCAGCAAGACAACACCCATCGTTTTTCCGCCCGGCTGCTTTCATTCGATCTGACAGATGCAGAAGCGTCGCGCATGCTTGAGCGACCAGCTGCTGCCCCGGCGGGGGCCGGCTGCCGGTCAGACCGGCACCGTGACAGGTGAGCGGTGTCGACACGCCGCACATGCACGGCGCTCGGCAGCGGCGGCCATGTTCGCCAGACAGCTCATCCTGTTCGGGGCGCGCCGGATGTTGCTGATCTTGCGATCAGAGGCTCGGCGGCGGCGCCGACAGGTGGCAGGACGGTCGCGGTGACCGGATAAGATGCGAACAGCACTGGCACGCCTGTTCAGCTCCACAGTCTGATGCAGATCACGCCGCTGGTGTTCCAGTGTCGGGGTTATGGTCGGGGGGGGGGGGGCATCCCCCTCAAGGAGTCACGAGGCGAGCGAGCCGGAGCGGGCGGCAGCTGCATGGGGTCAGCGGCAGCTGCGTGGGGTCAGTGGCAGCTGCGTGGGATCAGCGGCAGCTGCGTGGGGTCAGCGGCAGCTGCGTGGGGTCAGCGGTAGCTCGTCACAGCCCGCATCTGCGGCCAGGTGCCAAGAATGAGTCCCACAACTTGGCTGGAATGCATGAGTGAATTGGACCAATTTACGGTGCAGTTATTGACGACATGGTTGAATGCGCGTATGTTCACTTATCATCCAAGCCACTTCACGGTCTGGGCTTCATGAGCTGCATGTCATCAGCTGTAATTACTTCCTGAATACTTAAGATTGATTTACTCAGATACGATGTACGAATGCGCCATGCGCAGGCACGTTACTCGTATAGCCATTGGAATGTTTATTATCATTATCACTTCCAATGCACATGTCAACATCGTGCCAATGGCTTATTAGCGTTGCTGTGCTATGCACAGCACGGTGGCTGAGTAACAGGCCATGATTGGGTTCGGATCAAGAACCGTTTTTGGCGTGGTTTAATCACTGCGCCGGAAGAACAATGGTAGTGCTTTCAGCTTTTTCCGCGCTTGACAAAATATGATGCCTGCTCTTGAGCCAAAGATGTTGGCATGGAGATAGCACATTTCAGAACGCCCCTGGCGTCCTCCGCCCAGCCGTAAGTATCCGCGAGGACAGGTGGAGACCGACGGCATGGTATTTCAGCACGCCTTCAAAGACGGGGGACACCTTCCAACATTGCTGATGGAAATTTGATTTCATTGCTTTCCAGGTACGCTCATTGTTCAAACCGAGCTTGGGCCAAATGTTGGGGGACTAGGGCCCAAGTCCCCAACTATGCCCGCACTTACGTGCCCGGAGCAGCTCAGGAGACTGGCTCGCCCTATCATAAACGTGTATTTTACTGTAATGTAGAGTAAATCTCGTCAGCGCTGTGTTTATTTTGTGTTCCCAAAAAGTGTTTATTGTGATTTTCTAATTGAAAGCGATCATCGTGATACCTCCTTCAGAAACAACAACGATTTAAGCCCAGCAGGTGGAGCGCTGCGGAAATGCGGCCAATTTGGCGCTTGTGTTGAGATGACGGCGCCGTAAGGCTATAATCTGAAACACCTGCGTATTTTGTTGTTCAGCTGCTATGTGCTCCCCTCTCGTAGCTAGGACTTCAGGTAAATCCAACATTTTGGACTTTTTCACAGCGTAAAGTGCAAACGCCAGGTAACAAATACATCGCAAGAACGAGGGGAAATGTGGCAAGGTTTAGTCTATGCAGCTCGCGATTTTTCCTCGAAATGAGGCGGTGTTTTCTATGGCTTTTGCGAACACAGAACGCAGGCTCCCCAATAATGGGGTATACAACATTAATGTACAATATCCACCAGTGAACGATAGCATGTTAAAAAGCAAACACACCCATCCGGCGACTGAAAGCATTCGTGCTGTAATGGCGGGTTAAGAGCCGGTGAGTATCGACCCTTTCATCACAATTTATGGGTTGTCAACACAACAATGGAGACGTTTGGCACTGTCTATTCAGCTGGCGCAACGAATCGTGAGAACCATGCGTGGTGTCATCTTGGCGAAGGCATTCAACTTTGAGTGATTGACGGGAACATTAACGCAAATGGCCTCTGATGAACGAATCTCGATATATCCGCGGCGTTAGAGCTACCAAACTGGCTTCAACAAACACCACGATGACGATTGCGGGCGCGCCGACACAGCAATACACTTGTGCTGATAAGTTTATTGCACATCTAGAGCGATGCGTGTCTGGCCTGAAACCAAGTCTTGGTTCAGGCAGTCTCAATGGCGTGACGTCACTGGGTCGGATCACCAGCCAGCACATCGGCCGTGCTCCTGACCCGCCTGGATATTGTTCCGCCGGCTGCCCATCACAGCAGTCCGGCTCTGGCACGGACTCACGACAGCAGACAGCGAGATTCATCCGAACGTCGATTGTGCAGCGCAAAAACGGGAAGCAACAACACGGGCACACTGTTCAACATCGCCAATCCCACAACGGGAAAACGACTAGTGCCATCAACTTGATGACTTGAGCACCACCTATCGGCCGCAATCGGCAGTCGACCTTCCCTATTCCGCCACGCGACCAGCAGCAGAATCCCCACCCCCCAAATACTCCGCATTGAGTCCAAAGGGCGTATGCATCTGCAGAGCACGAGCACCAGGTCACAGGAATGCAGACCAGAATAATCTGAGCCAATGCAAGGACATATCCGAGTTAGTGACAGGAGCAGACGAAGCGTGACACTAATGGAGTCGCATTACCGCAGAAGGTTTATCGGATGCAAACAACCAAAAATACCGCAGTTCGCCAGCGGTTTGATAGCGAGCGTCGCATTAGCCGCGGTGACAGCTTCGGCGCGGCGTGACGCGGTCGCAGGCCGGCGGCGGCGTGATCGGTGCCGCGGAGTCTCCGCCACGACCAATGAGGAGGCGGCAGCCGACGGCGAGTGACTGGGCCGAAAATCACGGCGAAAGTCACGGCGTGAGGCTGCAGAACGAGCGTTGTGCGCCGCAACGAGTCACGCCGCGCCGTCTCACGCCACGACGCGCCGAGACGTTTGGCAGCGCGCCAGCTACTGTGAGAATGGTTACTTTCCGAGCGACATGGCTGAGATGCACCAGTCCGTAGCCGTAAAAAGATATCGCAGACTTTTGAAGGGGAAAGAAAGGCGAAAAACAAACGTCTTGAAATGAAATTGTGAAAGCGACTGGCGTACTTTTGCCATGAGCGTGCTATTATGCCTTTAATACTTTTTACAACGGGTCTGACAAACTGCCATGACGAAATGTGGAAATACTGGGTCCCGAGTCCCCCGGAGTCGTGAAAATTTCACTCACTCCGCTCAAGTGATCATCACACCTCACTGCAATCGTTATCGTAGAAGCATGGGGAGGGGGAAGGTAGAGCATAGGTACACACGTTGGCTCGTAAGCTGTCAGTGAACGCATGCTGATGCATGAAACAATTGTTTTAAAAATGGGTTAGCTACACTCACTTTTTGAAGCGTTTTTGCGTTCTTGGAGTCTGGAGTCTGTCTTGCCAACAACTTTCTCTACTCACTTTGATCATACGCTGCCGTCGCCCGAAATATACTGGTTACCGTCAGCTACAGCAGCTTCGAGGCCAAATGAGCGGCGCGCCCGAGAAAGCCACGGCTGAGAATCTCTGAGAATTATTGGCATTCTCAACGGGATTTTACATGACTCGCCCTGCAAGCCACCCTTGGGCAGTCTGCATTAAACTTGAACAAGAGGCATAGCTGCTCCAAAAAACAGGGTCGCACGTATGGGACAGCATGTCCCGAACCCGTAGACTGGGGAACTCAGAGCCGCCCTCCCTAGCGCCACACCGCCCTCTTCCAGCCCCAGCGCCGAGACATCAGAACACTCACACCCTGCAACTGTGTCCAGCCGTCCGCCGGCCGAGTCCCAGCCCGGAGCCGGCCGGCGGGGCAGCGGGCGGGAACAAACGCCCTCCTGCCCGTCAGCACCGGACCGCAGCAGCACTGGGCGGCAGGCTGCCCGGCCACCGCGAGGTCCGCTACTTTGGCTCCACTTTGGCACCCGTTCACCGATGTGACGCTCCGCCGCCGGCGCTGCTGAGCGCCAGCTCGCGTCGGGATGACGTCACCACCGACGTCACGTTTTTTGACATTGCACGTACTGACGCATTGCTCTGACGTCAGGTGAGGCCTGCGCGGGGACGCCCCGGCAGTCCCGTCTGCTTGCCCTGCTGTTGGCGTCTTGCTGATCCAGTGTGTGATGTGTTAGCCGTATGAGGGGCGGTGGCGGCGGCACGAGGCGGTCCCGCCGCGCGGCGTCAGGTCAGCCGCCAGGCAGGGTCACGCGCGCGGCAGGTCACGCGCGCGGCAGGTCACGCGCGCGGCAGGTCACGCGCGCGACAGGTCACGCGCGCCCGTGCAGAGCCCAGCGCTCGCTGAGGTCCGGGTCGCTCCTCGCACTGCGCGGGCTGGGCTCGCCGGGCGCCGGCCGGCACGGCGGTGGTGGTCAGTTGTGTCCCCGCGGAGCTCTTCCGGCGCGTCTTCGCCAGCGTCTGTCTCTCGAGACCGCTGTGACGTATCGGAGCGCCACAAGAGACCCGAGGGACTCAAACAGCACAGGCGTCTCGGAGAGTCCTGCCAGCTGACCCCAACTGACCCGTGGTGACCCCAGCTGATCTGAGCACACACCGGCTGACCGAACCGACTCCGGCTGACCCCGACTGACCCCAGCTGACCCCGGGGCGACCCGAGGTGCTAAGTCTTCCCGGCCAGCCCGCGGGCCTACAGCGTGCCCACTGACGATGCGTTGCTGGACTGTCCGCTGCCGCCGAACCGCCACGTGCCTCATACGGTGTCCATGGTGGAGAGCCGTGACCCCAGGTGGTCGCACACGTGCACGTGCCGGTGCGAGGGCGACGTGGGGTGGCGGACGTGGCGGTTGTTCTGGCCGCGCCGCCGGCACCAGAGGCAGAGCACCAGTCCGGCCACGGCCACGAGGGCTAGCACCACCCCCAGCAGCATGAACACATCCACCTCCGCCGCCGTGGGGCCTGTCGGCAGGTCAGATCAGGTCAGGTCATACTAGGTCAGGTCAGCAGGAGCACACCCACAACCACCGCTGTGGGGACCACCGACGGGTTAGGTCGAGTCAGGTCAGGTCAAGTCAGACCAGGTTAGGTCAGAAATGGTGGGATCAGAACATCGGTTAAACTCCTATCTCTGCCGCTGTGGCACTTTGATCAGTTGTAGCTTCAGGGCGCATCGACGGCCATGGTCATGCAGCGCCCAAATGTGGCGCTCTGAGACAGGTTCGGTCGGGTCAGCCGGAACACACAAGGGAATATGGGATCGCGTAAGGTCAGCTGTGGAACCCGGGAACAGTCAGGTCAGGCAACAAAAACACGCTAAGAACACGAACGTGCAGCCGTGACTGACAGTGATATCGGATCGAACTCGATCGGCATCAGACAAATATATGAGGCCGTGGCGCGTCCGGGTAGGTCGGATCACGTCAGTTTAGGTCAGGGGGATTGCATCGACGTCCGCATGAGACCGATCAGGTCGGCGCAGGTCAGGTCAGTTCCAGAGGAGGCAGGGGTGACTCGGCAGACGCCGCGCCCGGCTGCAAGCGGTTCAGCTCGGCAAACGTTTGACCAATTCGACATAAGCTCGTGACAAATGTGACGCAAAGCAGCGCAGCACGTCATAGCCAGGCCCACGACTGATGGGTCCAGCTGCTCGAAAAGGAAATATGTGTGTCTGTTTATCTAATGAATACATTATCAGCGACTTTCGTGAAAATAGCAGCTGCGTCGGTGACTGAGCCACTGTAAACACAGCTGGCCAGGTACCACTGCCATAGCAAACCGACGAAAGAAAACTGGAAAAGGCTTCTCACTAAATTATTAAGGTCGTCGGCAAGAGTTATTTTGTTAGTCGGTAGTAGGTTATTAATTTTTGTGAATGGTAGATGATGATACGGTCAAACCATGAGCAACTCGCGGCTAGTATGGCTCTTAATCCATATATGAGCATGATGTCATTAAGTTAGTTACTTCGTTGACCTTACATGACCTTGCGATCTGATCTATGATAATTCGTGCTCAAATTTCGTGTGGTTTTATCCAATTGCCCTCCTTTGGTCAGCACCACATTTTTGTCCATGCATAACACTGCGACCTCAGAAATTCAACATATGCCGATGGCCTGGGATGAAAATGCCATTGAAGACTAATCCATTTCGGTCTGACACCACCCATGGCAGCTACCATTCATACGGGTACATAAGCGGTAGGCGAATAAATGGTGACCTGGATGACCTATGTTGGCTTATGTCAGACACCATTGCATCCTGACGTGCGCTGATCTATGTCGGACACCACTGCCTCCTGACGTACGCTGATCTGTGTCGGACACCACTGTCTTCTGACCTATGTTGACCTATGTCGGACACAATTGCCTCCTGACGTGCGCTGATCTATGTCGGCCATCATTGCCTCCTGACCTATGCTGACCTATGTCGGACACCATTGCCTCCTGACGTACGCTGATCTGTGTCGGACACCACTGCCTTCTGACCTATGTTGACCTATGTCGGACACCACTGCCTCCTGACGTACGCTGATCTATGTCGGACACCACTGCCTCCTGACGTACGCTGATCTGTGTCGGACACCACTGTCTTCTGACCTATGTTGACCTATGTCGGACACAATTGCCTCCTGACGTGCGCTGATCTATGTCGGACACCACTGCCTCCTGACGTACGCTGATCTGTGTCGGACACCACTGCCTCCTGACGTACGCTGATCTATGTCGGACACCACTGTCTGCTGACCTGTGTTGACCTATGTCGGACACAATTGTCTCCTGACGTACGCTGATCTATGTCGGACACCATTGTCTTCTGACCTATGTTGACCTATGTCGGACACCATTGTCTTCTGACCTCGGACACAACAGTTACGTAGAAAATCTCCTTAAGCTTTGCATGCGCTATGTAATCACATTTTGTTCGTCTTTCTCTAGACCATTCCAGTCTAAGAATCCCGGGGGGGGGGGGGGGGGATACGGGTGCCCACCCCATCAGAACAAAGTTGGCACGAATCGCCATCATTACGTGGGCTAGCGTGACGCTGCTTACTCTTCCACTCGATTTGCGCCGGATGGCGATGAGCCAGCTTGAAGTAGACTTTTATCTGGCTTTCTGACTAAACAAAAGATGTAAACAGAAGTAAATTCCCCACCCAGGATGTGGCTCTACGTCCGTTGGACACAGAAAAGGGTTCCCTACACCAAGTAGGCAGGGGCGTCGTTCCGCAAAATGAGTGGGGTGGATGAGTGGGTGGGTGAGAGTGGTGAAAAATGCTGCAGCCTACCCCGAAAACACAGCAACAAACGGTTTTCTCCCCGGTTTTGGGTCACTGTTTTTTTCAAGATTGGGGAGGCTGGATACCAAGTTAGTAGAGGAGGGGCTGGACCCCCCGAACTGAAGAAGAAACTACACCCCCACCAGTCAACGTTCTAACAACGTCACCAGCGCATGTCTGTCTGCTGACCTCATGAGAGAAGGATTTTTCCAATGAGCTGATAAGTCCTAGTTGTATGAGTACTCCAGTGGTAACGAGATCCCACCTCTCCTATTTTGGCGCCATCTATATGGTGACAATAATTACACCTGTCATCGCCTCGCTCGTTACACGCTGCAAAAGACGACTTCATGGCCTGCTGCATTTCCTCCCGCGAATTTCAGGCATTACTCTTACCAGGCCCTTTCCTGCATTGGCTACGAGGTCCTGGAACCTTACCTTACAAGTATACAGCTATAATAATGCACACAAAAGTGCACGATCCTGGGCCTCTTTAAAACAAGACAGCTTGAAATGCCGGAGCGCTGCTTCATGCTTTCATATCGGCCCCCCATCCCCGCGCCCTGATCCACTCCACCGGGACGCATCGCCGCCAGCAAGCACTCACAGTCGGTCTCGTCCGTGTTGTCGCTGACGCCGCAGTTGTAGCGCGAGTTGCACCGCAGCTGGTCCGCTATGCAGAAGCCGCTCCTCTCGCAGTGGAAGCCATCGCACTCCTCTCCTGAGAGGCGGAAGCGGTGGAGGGTTAGCGTGGTGCAGTGGAAGCCGTCGCACTCCTCTCCTGAAAGGCGGAAGCGGTGGGGGGTTAGCGTGATGCAGTAGAAGTCGTCGCGCTCTTCTCCTGAGAGGCGGATGCGGTGGAGGGTTAGCGTGGTGCAGTGGAAGCCATCGCACTCCTCTCCTGAGAGGCGGAAGCGGTGGAGGGTTAGCGCGATGCAGTAGAAGTCGTCGCACTCTTCTCCTGAGAGGCGGAGGCGGTGGAGGGTTAGCATGGTGCAGTGGAAGTCGTCGCACTCTTCTCCTGAGAGGCGGAAGCGGTGGAGGGTTAGCGTGGTGCAGTGGAGGCCGTCGCACTCTTTTCCTGAGAGGCAAAAACGATGGAGGGTTAGGCTTGTGCAGTGGAAGCCGTCGCGCTCCTCTCCAGAGAAGCGTATATAATAGAGGGTTAGCACGGACGCGGGGCCGGAGTTGGGACGCCAGGAGAAATATCACAATATTTGTTGTGCGAGTGCCACGTTGGCTAGCGCGAGTGATGCCGCAAACAGCAGGAATGACGGAATGAACTAATGCTCTGCAGTGATAAACGGCGATTCCGTTGGCTGAATCCAACGTTGAATCAGAATAAACAAAGGGTTGAAGAGCGCGCGTACCGCACACTACGCAGGGCGGGGCGTTATCGTCAAGCCTTCGGACACTTCCGATACCCTGAAGATGGCAGAATACCGCTGAGCGAAGCTGTGATGAGCTGAGTCCTCAGTCTGGCGGCTGGAGCGTCATAAGACAGGGGATTTCGCCTTCCATCCATCCTTAGACAGCGGCAATTTTTTAGGCTCACCAGGGCCAAGCTAGCTTGCATTATCAGGTCCTGCATAAATCCTCCACCATGGCGGCGAACGAAGCCCGCCGAGAACCATCTTCTGTCAGCGGCAGATGAGCGCTCTCAGTCCACCAATGTCGGCATGTATTCCATCGACTCATCCGAACATCTACACCACTAACCGCACCACCACCACCCTGATGCAGCCATGGACTGAATACCAAGACTGCATCACGTGTCTGGATCTCGGCCCTGGGGTCTGGACCTAGATCTCGTATTAATTCATCACGTGTCTGGATCTCGGCCCTGGGGTCTGGACCTAGATCTCGTATTAATTCTGGTAGCAGTTTTCTAATCCATCAAAGCCCGTTCAAAGCACTTGGATCCACAATCTAATCGATCGGAGGCAAGCCGCCCCTAATCCCATCCACTACCGTGTCTATGCCTGGTTATGCTCACCATGAAAACGCCTTTTCTTGCTATGTCTCTAGCCTACGTTTAACCTAACTTGGCTGCACTCGTGACTACCCTGCTTTAAGCAGTGATATAGCTAGAGCGTCGCATAAGTCGCATCGAGCTATCATGTAAACATAGAGGACTACGGCAGCTTGTTAAGCTTTTGAAGTTGAAATCGGATTTTAAAATAATCTTTGCATTCATCTCTCGTGAATCTCGAACCATTTTTCGGAATTTCTCGTGATTCTGTACGTTACAATATAAGTTGACGTGCATCAAATATAACGTGCATATCATAACGATGGCGCATAACGCGCCATCAAACATGAGGAAAATGACAGGTCAAAATTACAGAAAGCAGCGGGTCATTGCATTGGTTAGCTTAGCGCCTGTTGATGACAAATGCTGCCAGTAAGAAATGTAAAAAATATGCACATAACTTTTTCAAAAAATCGTAAGCTTTTGGGTCTCCCACAAGGCCTATGCCAAAAACTGACGACAACTACACAATTTTTACGACGCCAGGCTCTGATGAGGTCTTTCGTTAACAGGATTACAAAGAGAATGAAAACCCACAACCAAACTGTACGTTCGTTGCATGATAAATTATATCCTACATCGGGGTCAATATCTCCGTGTATATCGTCAATATTCAATATCGTCAATATCTCCGTTTGTTATCAGGTTTTTGCGCCCAACGGCAGAGAAAATAGAAGCAAGATGCGTCATTCGCCGCCCTTATTTTAAGCACTGTTTTCAATCCAGTAGCCGCCTCTGGAATTCGGAGGCATGATTCTTTCCTTTGATGCCATTATGCTCACCGTCCTGTGACTCGGTTCAGTAGATGCGGAAACCCTGGTTATGCTCTACGTCCTGCACCTCGGTCCAGTACGCGCAGAAGCCCCAGTTATGCTCACCGTCCTGCACCTCGGTCCAGTTGGCGCGGAAGCCCTAGTATACTCACCGTCCTGCACCTCGGTCCAGTATGCGGGGAAGCCCCAGTTACGCTCACCGTCCTGCACCTCGGTCCAGTATGCGAGGAAGCCCTAGTTATGCTCACCGTCCTGCACCTCGGTCCAGTATATGCGGAAGCCCTAGTTATGCTCACCATCCTGCGCCTCGGTCCAGTATGCGGGGAAGCCCTAGTTATGCTCACCGTCCTGCACCTCGGTCCAGTATGCGGGGAAGCTCTAGTTATGCTCACCGTCCTGCACCTCGGTCCAGTATCCAGGGAAGCCCTAGTTATGCTCACCGTCCTGCACCTCGGTCCAGTAGGCGCGGAAGCCCTGGTTGCCCACGGACTTCTCCGCAGAGATGAACGAAATCTTCATGACGCGGCCGGTGGAGACGATCTGCTTGACCTCCTCGGGCAGGCTGTCTCCGCAGAGCTCGATCGGAGAGCTCTTCAGGTCCTGCCAGACTCGCACCACAGCCGCCGGGCAACCACGCGCTGCCGGTCAGGTCAGGGGTCTGAACGTCAACAACGCCACCGGACAGCCACGCGCTGGCGGTCAGGGGTCTGAAGGTCAATAACGCCACCGCATAGCCAGACGCTGGCGGTCAGGTCAGGGGTCTGAGGGTTAACAACATCGTCGTACTGCCATGCGCTGGCGGTCAGGTCAGAGGTCTGAAGGTCACCAACGCCGTGGGACAGCCACGCGCTGGCAATCAGGTCAGGAGTCACGCTCAGATCTCGTGCACGTTCATGCAGGCCCTGCCGACGACACTCACATAACCTGGCACGTCACCCCTCACGCGATCCGTCAAGTGAACTTCAAATTAATGTGACCTGTCACGCATCTTGTCATGTGGTTTGTCACAAGATCTTTCCATTCCCACGCCCGTTAGGTGACCTATTAAATGACTTATGACGGGGTTTTCATAGGACTCCCCTACTCACATAACCTGTCGCCCTCCACCACGAACGTGTCGAAGAAGAGCAGGATCTTGCGGCTAGGCTTAACGTGTATGTACCAGTGGCACACCTTGCTCTTCTTGGCCGGGTAGGTGTTGGGAAAGTCCGGTGACGTGATGACGCCATCTTGGGTGCCACTGATGTTCCGACCACAGTCTGCTGGACCGGAAACGGTGACGTCACTGCAGGGGTGTTGAGCGTGCGCGCTGATTGGCCAGCTTTCGGACGCCGCCAAGAAAATAAAGCCTGTCTGTATCAAGGGGAGAGGCATGTGACCGTAGCTAGGCGCCATGCACTTATTTTTGTCAAACACGTTGGGCGGTTGACCTGAGCAGCGAAGAATTGCTCAACCTGTCCACGAAGTCCGTAAAAACGGATTTTCACCGGATTTGGCCCACTTTTTATCCAATTTCAACTGAATTGGAAGCTACACGCCTGCTAATGTGGCTAGGGCCAAGCTTGGATGCCGAACAATAAATCCCGTTATGACCATTCCCATGCCAGTCGTGTAGGGAGACGTCGAATCAATATTCGGCGCAGTACCGGCCTACGGGAAGGGGGTTCTCTCGCGTACATCAGGGGTAGGCAGTGCAGCGGCCGCGCGTTTTATCCGCATTTGCTTCGACGTTGCGCCATCGCATTGACATTCAGGGGGGAGCATCACGGAGGAGCAGGGAGAAGGTGGGCACTGCTTTATATTCTACCGCACGGATCCGTGTAAACTTTTTGCACCCAAACCGCCGACAGGCTGAACATCACGACGGAGGGCTCACGGCGGCCGAAGCGGCACTGTCAGCAAGCTTGGTCCCACTGTCGCGTGAAAATTGAAATGCTGTATAAGTTCATGCGCAAGTTCAAATCAACGCTCTCCGAGCGCTTTGCTCTGTTTTGTTGTCATGTTTGACACGTGGTGTTAGAATTGGATGCGTTGGATATGGGATTAGCAGAAATTAACTTGTTGCAAATTTGAAGACACAGAAGTGAGGCTTAGGAAATGCCTCCGCTTCTTTAGCTAACTCCTTAGAACAAGCTCTCGTCGATTTGTTGGGCAAATTTGGGGCACAAGCTGCCTTTGCTTGCACGTCACGGTATTCGCTGCCTTTGCTTCATCACCATCCATCAAGACCCACATGTCGCCGTCCTCCACATACGGCAACTTCTCACAACGACTGCGTCACTTCGCCTACATCCGACGGACTGGATCCCACGGACAGCACCAACTCCAGAAGCCCGCCCTCCTCATGACCCCTCTAAACACCCATCCTCCTTAAAACCTCTCCAGACATCCGGCTTCCTTACATCTCCTCCAGACGCCCGCCTTCCTCATAATCCCTCCAGACACCTGCCTTCCTCATGACCATTCCAGGGGCCCGCCCCCGCCATAACCCCTCTAAACACCCGCTTTCTTCATAACTTCTCCAGACACCCGCCTTCCTCATAACCTCCTAAGACACCCGTCCTCCTCGTAACCCCTCCAGATGCTCGCCTTCCTCATGACCCCTCCAGACAATCGCATTCCTCATATTCCCTTGAGTCACCCGCCTTCCTCATAACCCCCTCAGAAAATCGCCCCCTCATAACCTCTACAGCCACCCGCCTTCCTCATGACCCTTCCAGACACCTGCCCTTCTCATAAGCACCTCGCCATTTCACTCCTCCCCCCCCCCCCGTCCAGCGAACTCCACCATTCTCCGCCCTCCGGCCGCGGCCGCCCACCTCCGAAGATGTCCTTGGCGTCGAGGTAGATGTAGTGCGCCTTGAAGCCACTGGAGACGTGGTCCGAGTCGGTGTGGAGCACCACGAGCAGGCCGCGAGCGCCCCGCACCGACTCGGTGGGCCCGGGGGTGGACTGGGCGCAGTAGCGGCCGATCAGGTCCGTGCTGTTGTCGTGGTACAGGTTGTAGATCTCCAGCCAGTCCTCGTGACAGTTGTGCAGCCTGGGAGAGAGTGGAAGAGAGGGGCATGTGGTACACGCTTCTGATCGGCCAGGATTTTCAAGTGTGAAGTCGCTCTCCTTCATCCTGGATCTGGCTTCAAAATCATGGGAAGGCTCCTCGCTGTACACGTGCAGCTCAACACCTGGCGTCTCGAGCATACACATGCAAAAAGATGAAGCCAGCACCAGAAACGCGCTCCCGCAGCTGTAGTGATGGGTCAGTTCGCGCCAAGTACCGGCCGCTCGTTAGTGGTGGGCCAGCAGCTGTACTCGATACTCACCCGTAGGCCGATCCGTTGGTGTTATCGGCGCGCACCTTGAAGCCGTCGAACACGAGTCGCACCTGCTCGTTGCGCGCCGTCTCGAAGGTGTACTCGCAGGCGGTGGACGACGGGTAGTTGGCCGGGTGTCGAGGCGAATTGAAGTCACCTCGTTTCCCCGCCGTGGAGGAGTAGGAGAAGCGGCAGCTGCCGTCCGGCGCCGCCGTACCCGGGATCAGATACTCTGTCGGGATAAGATATGGTGAACACCGCCGTCCCCGGGATCAGATGCTCTGTCGGGATAAGATATGGTGAACACCGCCGTCCCCGGGATTAGATACTCTGTCGGGAATAAGATATGGTGAACACCGCCGTCCCCGGGATCAGATGCTCTGTCGGGGATAAGATATGGTGAACACCGCCGTCCCCGGGATTAGATACTCTGTCGGGGATAAGATATGGTGAACACCGCCGTCCCCGGGATCAGATACTCCGCGGGGGATAAGATACGTCACAGGCCACCGTGCGCAGGATCCGATACTCTACCGGGGATAAGGTACAGTGAAGACCACTGCACCCGGGAGCAGGGGTTTGGTAGAGGATCAGATAGATCGACAGCTGCTGACCTGCGCCGCTGTGCCCGCCATCAAAACGCTGCGCGGTAAACAACATGGCGAAGGTAAGCGTTAGTGCCCCAACACTGTCACAGCTAAAGAAGTGCTCTGCGAAACACGCAGCTAGATACTCCACCCCAAACAGCTAGACACTCCACCCGAAACAGCTAGATACTTCACCCCAAACAGCTAGATACTCCACCCCAAACAGCTAGATACTTCACCCCAAACAGCTAGATACTCCACCCCAAACAGCTAGACACTTCACCCCAAACAGCTAGATGCTCCACCCCAAACAGCTAGATACTCCACCCCAAACAGCTGGATACTTCACCCCAAACAGTTAGATACTACACCCCAAACAGCTGGATACTTTACCCCAAACAGCTAGATACTCCACCCCAAACAGCTAGATACTCCACCCCAAACAACTAGATACTCCACCCCAAACAGCCAGATACTCCACCCCAAACGCAGGCCGCCTCTTCCAGACTTGTCTGCGGATGGAGCCCAAGAGGTGCGACGAACACACCGACAAGATACGCCCAGCGGTGCCGTAGCAACGGCGGGGGAACGATTTCAAAGTTGAGGGGGAGCGGGTGAAACAATTACTTGACAAGTCCCCCCATGTTATCACCACCTTTGGGCCACTAAAGAATTGAATTTGGTGAAATAAATGGGGACTTAGGTTATAAAAATAACATCATCATTGATGTGAACACATGCCCTGATTCGACGGTGAAATATGGGTCATTTTACTGAATGCCTTTAATTCATATGCCATGTTTTCGAATCAGTTATACAACATTACTCTTCCTACTCTTCCTATGCGTATCATGATCAAATTTCGCTATATATATATCCCTCTCCTCCGCTCC